CTCATTGGGTCAATAGTTAGAGCTGGTAAAAAAAATCCAATTTTATTTCTGCAAAAGCCTCTTGATCAGAACCATTTTGCTTCACATTTTGTGCTGAAATTTTTGATTTTCAAAAGTCAACACAAAATACAAATTTCAATTTGAAATAAGTGCAATTTTTCCCTTCTTTTACCAAAACATGGAATTTTCCATTTGAAACATAAAAAAAAATTGTTTCATGTTCAATATTTTCATTAAAAAATCAAAAATGTTGCCAAAAATCAAACCATAGTATGAAACATTTTGCAATGAACTTTCATTTAAAAAATTTCAAAAAGCTCTAGTAACTCAAACTAATTCTGAATGCACACACAGTAATGCTCAAACACTTCCTGATTATTAGGGTGTGGAAGGTTGCCCCATATTTTACTGGAAAGATAATGATATTACATTTGCAACAAGCCTGAAGTATTACCTATGGATTCTTGAATTTCATCTACAAATTTCACTGGCCACAATGAGCTTCTCCTAGACTCAGGATTTGGAAGGTTGTATCTGTATCAGTATCTACCAACTCACGTTGTATTAATGTGTTATATATTATTATATACAACGTGAGTTGGTAGATACTGATACAGATACACACCCTGTCAAGAGTGTCCTCTTTTTTGAAAGTTCAAATATGGTAACCCTAATCAATGGTAATTTGTGTGTTTAATAGGCCAGTTCCTGAAACTGGAACCTCCGCTGCTAAATAACTAACAAGTACAACCCAAATCCAACAATGCACTTAAATATGTGCTTATCTTTGTCAATGAGATTATTCACATGCTTACAATAAAACGTGATTAAGTGCTTTGGTGAATTGGGGCCTAGTTTAATAAAGTTACAAACTGATGAGAGCTTAATTCCTCAGAATCAGAACCTGAGAGCTCTCTGTGGTGAGCAGGCTCCCAGGCTGTCTTTGTTGAAAAAAAATCAAGAGAGAATGCAACAGAACAGCAACTTCTCAGACAAATAATGAATTGGCAATGGTGGTCCCAAAAATGATCTTTCCAGTTTGTGTACTGGTAAAAGTAGTCACGCCTAGAGGCACTGAAATAAAGTATACTATGATTTAAGGCATGTACTGTATGTTGTTTGTGGGGAAGGAGAGAAGAAATATATCTCCGTTTTACAACTAGGAAATTAAAGTGAACATAAGCACCAAAGAAGTCAGGCACCTAACTTTATTGACTGACTTGAATGGGAACACATCTCTGACAATCAGGTTGTTTTTATTTAGGTGCCTACTCATGGATTTATGAGTCTAACTGACCTACTTATGTTCCCTCAGGAAATCTTTGGAACAGGTTGGTACAGAACCAGTCACTGGTATGAGTCAAAGGATATGGATCCTGGCCATGAGCAGACTGGTGCCAGGAAATAAAAATCATTCTCCTAATGCACTGTTTGTCAGACGTTTATTACAAGCTTGTCTTTTCATGTCACTCTTTACATAAATTATCTTTATTTAATAATTTGCAGTAGTGCCATAAACATCAGTGAGGATCCACAGAAACACTGCGCCAGTAACCATACAAATACATACAACACCATGATTGCTGCCACAAAGAGGTTACCATATTGTTCATTTTCTCTCTTGTTCATTTCCAGGAAGATGCTGTCCCATTCAGAATAGTCAAATAAGGAAAGACTTTTTTTTATTCTACCATTCATCCATAGAGCAACTCCATTAGAATAAAAAGGAGTTTTGCCAGGGCCATTTGGGCCCTAATCTTGCAATGAGCAATGCAAATGGTTAACTTCACTCACTTAGCCCATGGAACAACCTCTATGTAAAGTTATGTAGTATGTAATTTTTGGCAGGGCATACACCCCCATATTGGTTATGGAAATGTTTTGAATATGAATATGCACAACTTGAATATGCTTTATGCAAAATGTGGCATGTAATCTTTTGTTGAAGAGCTTGTAATTCGTTGAATGTATATATTCTATTTGTATGCATGTATCAGTCTTGTATGCGAAATTGAAAATATGAAGTGTAAACCTACTTATTCATCTAGGTCTTCTAGTGAAAGCCATTAGTGGTACTTAAAGAACTTGGGTACGTCTACACAGTACGGCTAAAGTCGGAATAAGCTATGCAACTTCAGCTACTGTCACTTGTGTAGCTTAAGTTGAAATAGCTTATGTCGGCTTTTGGCACTGTCTACACAACAGGAAGTCGAAGGAAGAATACTCTTCCTTCGACTTCCCTTACTCTTTGTAAAATGAGGGTTACCATGAGTCGGCGTAAGAAGTCCTCCAGCTTGATATTATTTCGAAATAAAGGCTTGTAATGTAAACGTGCTCTTTGTTATTTCAGAATAACGTCAGTTATTCCGAAATAATGCTGCTGTATAGCCCAGTGTTCAAAATAATAATCTGTAAATAGTTTTGTTTTTCCCTGTAAGCCTGAGCTGTGCTTGGTCCTACAAAGATATGTGACCATGCCACCTGGTGTAGGAATCCACCTTCAATTTTGTATTTTTCAAGGGTGCGGTGGACGAAGGGAAGAATAGAACAAAAACTTCCTGTTCTGGGGAAATTCAAGGGATGGGAAGCAATCAATGATTGTCTTCAGCTGATTTCACAAAATGCTTCCCTCCACATGAAGAAGTCCACAAACAAAGAATACTAACCAGGGGAGAAGCTGTTAAACCTCTGGTCAGAGAAAAGATCATCTCTGGCTTAAAAAATTGTATCTGAAATAAGGATTAGGGCATGGAATTATGTTTTGTAACCATTTATTTTAGGGTATGTCTACACAGCTGGGCTAAAGCTGAATTAAGCTATGCAACTTCAGCTACATGAATAGCATAGCTAAAATCGAAAGAGCTTAATTAGGCTTTTGGCGCTGTCTACACAGCAGGAAGTCGAAGGAGGAACACTTTTCCTTCAACTTCCCTTACTCCTTACTCCTTGTAGTATAGACATGCACTATGCTATTTCGGAATAATGTCAGTTATTCAAAATAATGCTGCTGTGTAGATGTACCCTTAGTGTATTAGGCTTAGCTGGCATGTTTTGTTTATTTTAGCTTAGTAACTTAGTTTGATTTCTTATCACTTGCAACCACTGAAATCCTACTTTTTATATTTAATAAAATCAGTTCTCTATTCTCTTTATTATCAAATCTAGTGTAAATATTTGTTACTGGAGGGGGGAGATCAACAGCTGTTCATATCTCTCTTTCACTGAGAGCAAACTTTATGAGCTTTCTCTGTGTAAAACTTTTATACAGAGTAAGATGGATTTCGGTCCTATTTGGGGCTGTGCTCCTGTGTGCTGTCAAGTGCCTGTAACTGAGCCCTCCCTGAGCTGAGTTGTTACTAGTGTTTGTGATACTATGTTACTGCAACTCTGTGACTTTTCTGGGGAACGCCAGAGCTTCTGGCCCAGCAAGACAAGGTGGTGGGGTGCACCAGTGGGCATGTAATTTTTGGCAGGGCATACACCCTCCTTACCAAAGGCTCAGGCTCAGTGGTAGGCAGGCTCAGTGGTATGATCAGCACATCAGGTACCAAACAGTCTCAAGGGGATCTTTGAAATCCAGCTAATCACATACATTTCTCAACTAACTGGATATATTAAGTTTTCTGGGAACCTTTGTGTTGATTCACACTAAAAATAGCTTGGCAAGGAGAGTTTCTGAAGATGGAGATGTTTCTGACAAACTGAAAGGCTGGACTGGCTTGTGTCAGAAGCAGAGGTTTTTGTTATTCCCTTTATGAAAAAAAGTTTTATTTAGCTTTCCATCAGTTATAACTTAGTCCCCTCCCCCAAGCATCTGTGAATAAAGATTATTAGCAGGGGGCACTACTGGTGCAAATCTTTTCAATGCTCTGCATCACTTACTGAAAGAGCTACACTACTTGAGCTAAAGGAGCAATGCTTATAGCTATTAGCAGTAATAGTCTGTTAACGTCTCTGCTCTGAAAAGGAACACAACTGCACATTTCACATGCATAAGCAACTGTACCTGCCACAGAGATGTTATTTAGTTGTGAATTAAAGCAAAAGTGGTCTCTATACAGCTGTGTTTGGTAAGGAGGTTGGTGCACAAGACATTCTCTCTACATTATGATGTAGTCTGCACTAATAAAACATTTGCCAATTCCTGTTCTAGAAAAAACTGTATACATATTTTTAAATCACACCACAGTCCATTTAAATCTAGAATAAATATTTTAGATCAAATTCACTCCAGGTGCATATAACTCCAGGGATCTGAATTAAATTACATCAGGGACTAAGTAGATCACTTGATCCTTTCATTGATTCCTTTTATCCCTATTCATAAGAATATGCTCTGCACAGTGAGAACCCTATAAACCCGACATTTTCATTTTCAGATGGATCATTTAATCAGTGCTCTCCCGCCACATGAATCCACATTCTGAAACGCGTTAGTCATAGTTATTCCAGTATCTCTCTCTCGCTCACCATGTGGGCTTGTACACACAGCTGTCACACAAGGCACGGGACGCGCATTTGCACAACATCCCTGTCCCTTTGCGTTGAACCGATCTGCGGCAAAATAAATCAGCGTGTCTAACCTAAACTCGCTGCACAAACATTTCTGGTCTGTCATGGCCACCGTAAAGCGTCTGCCATCAGACTCTTGTAATCAGATACGTAACCCCCACTCCGCATCGCGGCCCCCTCCCCCCCCCAGCCTGGCAGAGATCCCCGTCCAGATTAGCCTGAATCTGTTTATTGCCGCTCCTGGGGCTCCGCCACCAGCTTTCCTCGCAGCGCTTTCTAGGGCAGGGGGAGACCGGGCAGCTGGTCGCTTGCAATCTCAGCTGCATGTGCAGCGTCACATGCCGCTCTAGATCCCCGCTGGCGATCGCGGGGGCTCTGGAACCCGGCCGAGTGCGTTCTATACTCTCCGGGGAGAGGGAGAGATCGCTGGATATCGGCCGACTCTCAGCCTAGTAGCGCCCCTCCCTCACCATGAGAGATGAGCTTAAAGCAGTCCTGGAGGCCGGTCCAGAGTTGTAGCGATCAGCGCCCAGCCGCTTTGGAACCCGCCGGGACCTGAACTCTGCAGGGGAAAAGCTCGGCGATTGAACCCAGCCAGCGGAGTTCTAGAAGGGGGCGACAATAGAACCCAGCTAGCGGAGTTCTAGAAGGGGGCGACAATAGAACCCAGCTAGCGGAGTTCTAGAAGGGGGCGACAATAGAACCCAGCTAGCGGAGTTCTAGAAGGGGGCGACAATAGAACCCAGCTAGCGGAGTTCTAGAAGGGGGCGACAATAGAACCCAGCTAGCGGAGTTCTAGAAGGGGGCGACAATAGAACCCAGCTAGCGGAGTTCTAGAAGGGGGTGACAATAGAACCCAGCCAGCGGAGTTCTAGAAGGGGGCGACAATAGAACCCAGCTAGCAGAGTTCTAGAAGGGTGGCTATAGAACCCAGTCAGCGGGGTTCTAGAAGGGGTGGTGATAGAACCCAGCCAGCGGAGTCTAACGGGGGCTGCCCGGTTCAGTCATGCTGGATTCGGCGGTGCGACTGGCTCTGGGAGCTGGCCAGTTGGTGGCTCCGGGACCGCAGCTCTCAGAGCACCTGGCCCTGCTACAGGCACAGGTGCTCGCTTCCCTCTGGCCCATACTGCTGCTGGGAGGTACTGTGGCACTGCTTGTCCTGCTTGGGATGCTTCGGCACTGGGGCCGGACACGGTCGGGCCCCCAGCTAGGCGCCGTGGGAGAGGAGGATGGTGCTGGGGCTGCCAGCTGCAAAGCCAGGCGGCTGCCATCACCGGCCCAGCAAACGCACAACGGGACAGCAGGGCATGGACGGCAGGAGCAAACGGCAAGGCAGAGCCACATGGCAAAGGTAAGGACGAAATTCATTCCATCCCAGCCCAATCTCCTGCACAGGGGGTCTGCCCTCTCCTATCCAAACCAATCCCTAACACAGGGGCCCTCCATACTAATCCCCACTGCAAGGCTCAGCCTACTCTCAGCATATGATCCTCATTCCCCTCTGCAGGGGGCCTAACCCCATCCCATCTTGCCCCCAACACAGACTCCCCATCCCTACAATTCCACTCCTCTCCATAAGTATATCCCAGTAGTGAATCTACATCCCCTCTGCTGGGGGCTCAGAGTCATTTGTTTTTCCTCCTCAGGGGGCTCTATCCGTCTCAAGCCCAAGGCTCCTTCTTAGCATAGGAGCACAGGAGTGTAGAATCCTTCTTTTTCTCCCATTCCATCTCCAGTTCTTTCCCTCCATCCAATCCCATCCTCCAGCATAGGTTATCACCTTCACTGGCCGGCCAGCTATCAGATCCCACTGCTCAAAGTGTGCGTTTACAAAGTCCTTTCCTACTCCCTTCTGGATAAAGATACATTATCTAACCTCAGAGCTAGACCCTGCAAACACTAATTTATGAGTGACCCCTTACTCGCATATGTGAGATTATGTGGAACTACTCCATTAGGGTATGTCTACACTACCCCGCTAGTTCGAACTAGCGGGGTAGTGTAGACATACCCCTAGTTAGGCTTTTAGTTCCTTACTCTGGCTCACAAAAGTTTGACCTCAATTTCAAAAGTGCTAAGTATCCAGTAAGTCTCAGGCCAGGTTTACAATAGACCCGGAGGCTTGTCTTAAGGTATGCAACTCCTGCAATGTAAAATACATAGTTGGAGTCAGCTTACCTTAAGCCAAGCTTTGTGCCATCCCCACAGCAGGAAGCTGATGGGAGCAAATACTCCTGTCTGCTTGGCTTTCTTTACTTATTGCAAGAGCAGGAGTACCAGTTGCCAGGAAGGGCACCCTTTGAGTTCACTTCAGTGAGTTTAGTTAAGACTCTCGTTAAGACTTGCTAAATCAATCTCCAGAAGATTGATCACAGCAACATAGCAGGACTAAGACACAGATCTCAAAGGCATTTTTAGGTGCTCGTTTCCCATTGAAATCAATAGGAGTTAGGCACCTATTGACTTGCTGGGCTGGAGCCTTTATCTTGCACACTACTTATCTCTTCTAAACAATTCATGGGATAGGACAAGGTTGCACCTTTCCCATCTTTTCTGGGATTGTTCTGCTTTTCTTACTGTTCATGTACTTGTTACTAAATAAGGGTTAAGTGCTGTTTGCCTTGAAGTATATAATAATAGTCCTGTTGATGTCAGCACTAAATGTTTCTTTCTATTCATGTTGCATCAAAACTTCATTTTGTAGTCTGGCCACATGATCTTGATTGCAGCCATACTGATTACCCTGGTTGGGTTTTGAAACAATGGAATGGAGTTTTGATGCAGCATTGTCACAGTTTGTTGTGACACCACAACTAGTTCCATTAAACACCGTGTAAAGCAGAAACCCACATCCTAATTCACAGAAAATAGCTGTGTAAAGACACTAGTATGTTAGCAAAATTGTAAACAGTCATGATAGTGCATTGTATGTAAAATAAATGAATATGGTCTGGTCTGTTAGTATTATCTGTTAGCTGCTTTATTCAGGGAGACAGGAGGAAAAAAAGAGCGTATTTGCTGAATTTGTCTTTTAGAATAGTACTTCTGGGACATCTTTTACTCTAGCCGGTAGATACAAATGTGTCCATATTTTCATCATAACTGTTGTTTCCAGGGATTTATTACTTTGCCATAAAAATTACATTCATGGTGAATCTTGGCTAGCTTTTAACTAGTTAGTTCATTTGTCATGAAGTTTTTTTCTTTTGCAAATGAAAACAGCACATTGGCCTGTTGTAATGGACTAATAGGTACATGTGCATTTGCAGTGACCACAACACTGAAATAATCATGAAGTACTGTGCCAAAAGCTGGGAATAAGCAACAGGATGGATCACCTGATGACTACCTGTTCTCTTCATTTCTTCTGGGCACCTGCCATTGGCCACGGTGGGAAAACAAGATATAGGGCTAGATGGACCTTTGGTCTGTCCTTGTATGACCATCTTATACCTGTGTGAGAAAAAATTTCAGCCAATATGTTACTTTAACATTTGTAGCTGTTTTAAGGCTTTGTTTACATTTAAAATGTAAAGTGCAGGCGCGACAGCATTGCCACGACAGTGCTTTAAATGGAAAGTGTGGCCACGGCACAAGCACTGGGAGTGAGATCTCCCCAGTGATCTATGTAAGCCACCTCCTCAAGGGGAGTCTGGTTCACAGTGGCACTTTACAGCAGTGTAACTTGTTGCACTCTTGGGGGGTGTTTATTATTTGAGCAGGAAATCTTTGATCAGGGAGACTGCACAGTCCTGAATTATCAGGGAAGGGGAATGCAGAGGAAGGTAAATTAAAATGCTACATTGGCTCATATGCTGTTACTATACTAAGGTTTTCATCTTTAATTTTTTTTTTGGTACCCTTGGTTCTTGCTTTCACACTGGCTCCTTAAGGGTCAGATCCTACCATACTTACTCGTATTGACTAGCACCTTACTCTGTGGGGACCCGCACTGAAATTGGTCAAAGTGTACATGTGGCAAAATCATGGACCTAAAGGGGTTGGGAGTGGGGAAGAAGGGGAGAACAGGAAAAATAACCTAAGAAGAAGAAAATTTCAACTAAATGAAAAATAGTGCTCATACCAAGACTGTATTCTGCCTTTTCTGCTCATTTGCTTGCCCCATTCCTTTTCTCTTTTCTCCACACGATCGTTTGTAATTTTTCATTGTCTTCCCTGTATAATCTGGAGTGTAATATACTTGAGGCAGGGATCTTATCTTCTAAATACAGGGATGAACAATAATTTTCATGGAGGGGCACCAAGAATTTTGGTAAGTGGTCACGGGATGAACTTTTCTATTACATTATTGGAGAAGATGTGGGATCTGGGATGGAGTTTGACCTGGGACAGAAAACTGGGGTGTGTAAGGGTGTGGGAGGTGCAGGGTTGGCCCTGGCCAGGAGGTGCTTACCATAGGCAGCTCCTGGCCAGCAGTGCAGTAAGGCACTCAGGCAGACAAGCTGCTGCATGTCTTGGTGGCCCCATGCAACTGAAAGCAGCTGACTACTGCTTGCAAACATGTCTCTGCATGCCTCTTGCGGGACAGCGGGTCTCTACACACTGCCCATGCCCGCAAGCACTGCTCCCGCAGGTACCATTGGCCCATTTATGGCCAATGGGAGCTGTGAGGAGGGGGCTTGGGGGGGGGGCAGTGTGTAGAGACCCGCTGCCTCCCTCCCCAAAAGGGTCACACAGAGACGGGCTTGTTAGCAGCCATTGGTTGCTTCTGGGAGTGGTATAGCCAGGGCCGCGGCAGGCAGGCAGCTTGCCTGAGCTTCCCACTGCACTGTGGGACTTTCAGCAGCCCAGAGGGTCATGGCGAGTAAAGGGGAAAAATTTGGTGGGATGGATCAGGCCTACGGGCTGTATTTTACTCACCTCTGTTCTAATATGTGTGTAAAGTTCAGTGTGCTCATAGAACATCAGATATTAACTAGACTTGGCAAAATTTGGTATTTTGTAATTTTTGTTGTTCATTTTCAAGCATCTTCTTATTCTTCCCTTTTCCCCCCTTGGCCGTGTGCAGTGGATACTAGGGATGTCAGGAAGCGAGTAATTAACTAATCATGTAGTTGATAGAATTTCTATCGACTACACAATTAGTCAATAAAGGAGGAAGCCTCAATCCCAACTCACGCCAGGTTCGGGAGCAACCCTCCTGCTGCTGCGGTTTTGCAGTTTAAATGTAGTAAGAGCCAGGCTGCCTGCCCACTCGTCTCCTACTACATTGAAACTGCAGAGCTGAAGCAAGGTAGGTCCTGGACCCAGCATGAGTCAAAACTGAACAAGCCTGGCTCAGTCCCAGCCTGTGCCATGTCCAGCAGCCCTGTTCACCGGGGGTGTGTATGTTCCAGCTCCCCGCTGGGACCCCTGCAAACAGGTTGCTGCCGGAAAGCAGCCCTTATCTGCAGTGGCTGGGGCTGGTTGCAAACAGAGGCTGCTATGGCAGCAGCCCCTGTCCACAAGGGTCCTAGCTCCCCACTGGGATCCCCCATGGACAGGGGCTGCTCTTTGGGATGTCGAGTGGCCTCTGCTCACAGCAAGCCTGGACCCGCTGTGGGCAGAGGTTGTTTTGCAGCTGCTGCCTCTGATAAAGGCAGCAGCGTGGGGGGAGGAGGGGACGGACAGTCGGCACCGCGGAGATGGTTATGGGGGAACTGGCTTTTAAGCTGGCTTCCCCAGCACCGGCCCCTGCCTCCCCCCCACCTTGCTGCTTCTGATACAGAAGCAGCAAGGGGATGAGAATGCAAGTAGTTGACTCAACTATTCGCTTACATCCGGATACTGGGCACAGCTGGGAATCTGGGCCTATGATTCATGTCCTGAGGAGCTAATATACGAAAATAACTTAAATGAGGATACCGGAGTAGGTGGAATATTGGGTGGTTCCTGTTTGGAAATCCTATATTTGTCTGAGGCCAACTCAAAACCATGACATACCTGATACTTCGGTTATAGCTGAAAAATCCAGTTTAGGAGTCTGGTCATAAATAGATACAAGCTGTTGATGAAACAGACCCAGATCTAGAGTGGCTCCTCTTTTAATGTGCCCTCCTACATTCGTTGTGTTTTCTATTTAAAAAGCCTCCCTTGTATCTGGCGTTTGCTGTATTACAGTATCTGATATAAAGATGAAATGTTGCAGGGGAGGTCCCAGAAAGGCAGCATCAGTGTGTTTGTACTCCAGTATTGTGTTCTGGTCAACAGCACACATCCCCTTCTCCCCCCACCATACATACCACTGTAATCTACATGGGTGTGCATGGAAACGTGCTTAGAAGTCATGCTCCTGGTGCAGGGGTGAACGACTAGGAACATGTTGCCTGGCATGTCTTGTCAAAATGCCCC